GTGGAGAATGTGCTACGCCTGCCACGCCCTGGGATCTTGGCACGCACAGCGACCCCACCCTTTGCACACCACCTGGGTTGTGGAGAACGTACCAGACCTGCCACAACTTGGGATCCTGGCACGCATCGCGGCCCCACCCCTTGCGTACCACTTGCGGTGTGGAGACCGTGCCACGCTTGCCACGCCATGGCGACCCCACCCCCTGCGCACCCTTTGCGGTGTGGAGAATGTGCCACGCCTGCCACACCTTGGGACGTTGACACGCACAGCGACCCCATCCCCTGCGCACCCCCTTGCGGTGTGGAGAACGTGCTACGCTTGCCACGCTTTGAGAACATGGCACGCATAGCGACCCCACCCCTTGCGCGGGAGAACGTACCACATTTGCCACGCCTTGGGACTCTGGCACGCATAGCGACCCCGCCCCATGCGTTCCCCTTGCGGTGTGGAGAACGTGTCACGCCTGCCACGCCATGGCGACCCCACCCCCTGCGCACCCCCTTGCGGTGTGGAGAACGTGCTACGCTTGCCACACTTCGAGAACATGGCACGCACAGCGACCCCACCCCTTGCGGGAGAACGTACCACATTTGCCACGCCTTGGGACTCTGGCACGCATAGCGACCCCGCCCCATGCGTTCCCCTTGCGGTGTGGAGAACGTGTCACGCCTGCCACGCCATGGCGACCCCACCCCCTGCGCACCCCTTGCGGTTTGGAGAATGTGCCACGCTTGCCACACCTTGAGACCTTGATACGCATAGCGACCCCATCCCTTGCGCACCCCCCTGCGGTGTGGAGAATGTGCTACGCCTGCCACGCCCTGGGGCACTGGCACGCACAGCGACCCCATCCCTTTGCGCACCACCTGGGTTGTGGAGAACGTACCACACCTGCCACAACTTGGGACCCTGGCACGCATCGCGGCGCCACCCCTTGCGGTGTGGAGACCGTGCCGCGTGGCATAGCGACCCCACCCCGTCCGCAACACTGGCGGTGTGGAGAATGTGCCACGCTTGCCAAACCTTGGGACGTTGGCACGCATTGCGACCCCATCCCATGCGGACCCCTTGCGGTGTGAAGAATGTGCTGCGCTTGCCACGCCTTGCGACCATGGCACGCATAGCGACCCCACCCCTTGCGCTCCACCTGGGTTGTGGAGATCGCTCCGCAGTGATGCGTGTGAGTGAGGCGTAGTTCCCCACATGTTTCGTGGGGTTCAGGTTTTCTTCCCTGCCGCGGCGCACCTCACACCTGCCGCGTCGCACCCGCGTCTCACCTCACACCTCCCCTCCTCCTCACAGCACTGCCACCGGAGGGGGTGCACATCGGGTGCGGCCTATGCGTTGCAGGCGCGCGGGGCACGGCAGGCGCTGCATTTTCTCGACACCAGGAGGGTGCGCAGGGGGTGCGGTCTCTATGCGTTGCAGGCGCGCAGGGCACGGCAGGCGCGGCATTTTCTCGACACCAGGAGGGTGCGCAGGGGGTGCGGTCTCTATGCGCTGCAGGCGTTGGAATTCTCGACACCAGAGGGGGTGAACAGGGAGTGCGGTCTCTATGCGTTGCAGGCGCGCAGGGCACGGCAGGCGCTGCATTTTCTCGACACCAGAGGGGGAGCACAGGGGGTGCGGTCTCTATGCGTTGCAGGCGCGCAGGGCACGGCAGGCGCGGCACTTTCTCGACACCAGGAGGGTGCGCAGGGGGTGCGGTCTCTATGCGCTGCAGGCGCGCAGGGCGCGGCAGGCGTGGCATTCTCGACACCAGAGGGGGTGCACAGGGGGTGCGGTCTCTATGCGTTGCAGGCGCGCAGGGCACGGCAGGCGCGGCATTTTCTCGACACCAGGAGGGTGCGCAGGGGGTGGGGTCTCTATGCGCTGCAGGCGCGCAGGGCGCGGCGGGCGTGGGAATTCTCGACACCAGAGGGGGTGCACAGGGGGTGCGGTCTCTATGCGTTGCAGGCGCGCAGGGCGCTGCAGGCGCGGCATTTTCTCGACACCAGAAGGGTGCGCAGGGGGTGCGGTCTCTATGCGCTGCAGGCGCGCAGGGCGCGGCAGGCGTGTCATTTTCTCGACACCAGAGGGGGTGCACAGGGGGTGCGGTCTCTATGCGTTGCAGGCGCGCAGGGCACGGCAGGCGCGGCATTTTCTCGACACCAGAGGGGGTGCACAGGGGGTGCGGTCTCTATGCGTTGCAGGCGTGGGCCGGCAAGCGCGGCATTTTCTCGACACCAGGAGGGTGCGCAGGGGGTGCGGTCTCTATGCGCTGCAGGCGCGCAGGGCGCTGCAGGCGTGGGAATTATCGACACCAGAGGGGGTGAACAGGGGGTGCGGTCTCTATGCGTTGCAGGCGCGCATGGCACGGCAGGCGCTGCATTTTCTCGACACCTGGAGGGTGCGCAGGGGGTGCGGTCTCTATGCGCTGCAGGCGCGCAGGGCATGGCAGGCGTGGAATTCTCGACACCAGAGGGGGTGCACATCGGGTGCGGTCTCTATGCGCTGCAGGCGCGCAGGGCACGGCAGGCGCGGCATTTTCTCGACACCAGGAGGGTGCGCAGGGGGTGCGGTCTCTATGCGCTGCAGGCGCGCAGGGCGCGGCAGGCGTGGCACTTTCTCGACACCAGAGGGGGTGCACAGGGGGTGCGGTCTCTATGCGTTGCAGGCGCGCAGGGCACGGCAGGCGCGGCATTTTCTCGACACCAGGAGGGTGCGCAGGGGGTGCGGTCTCTATGCGCTGCAGGCGCGCAGGGCGCTGCAGGCGTCGGAATTCTCGACACCAGAGGGGGTGAACAGGGAGTGCGGTCTCTATGCGTTGCAGGCGCGCAAGGCACGGCAGGCGCTGCATTTTCTCGACACCAGGAGGGTGCGCAGGGGGTGCGGTCTCTATGCGTTGCAGGTGCGCAGGGCATGGCAGGCGTGGGAATTCTCGACACCAGAGGGGGTGCACAGGGGGTGCGGTTTCTATGCGTTGCAGGCGCGCAGGGCACGACAGGCATGGCAAAGTCTCGATAACAGAGGGGGGTGCGCGTGGGGTGCGGTCTCTATGCGTTGCAGGCTCGCACGGCGCAGCAGGCGTGTCATTTTCTCGACATCAGAGGGGGCGCGCAGGGAACGGCCATCAACATCAGTCTCACATGCTTCGTTTCGGCTATCATCACTCCAGCCATAATATAAGTATGTGGGGTTCCTCGGTAGCGTATTTATCAGTCTTGGCGTGCTAGCAGCGTGCTGTGTAGCATATCAGTACTCGGGCAGTTTTCCGCCCCATTTCAGTTTCAGTTTCAGCCTTGGGACCTTGGCACGCATAGCGACCCCACCCCCCCCGGCGTACCCCTTGCGGTGTGGAGAACGTGCCACGCTTGCGACGCCATGGCGACCCCACATTTGGCGCACCCCTTTGTGGTGTAGAGAATGTGCCACGCCTGCCACACCCTGGGACCCTGGTACGCATAGCGACCCCACCCCTTGCGCACCACCTGGGTTGTGGAGAACGCACCGCACCTGCCACGCCTTGGGACCATGGCACGCATAGCGACCCCACCCCCTGCGTACCCCTTACGGTGTGGAGAACGTGCCACGCCTGCCACGCCATGGCGACCCCACCTCTGGCGCACCCCTTGAGGTTTGGAGAATGTGCCACGTTTGCTACGGTTTCCGACCTTGGCACGTATAGCGAGCCCTTCCCCTACGCACCCCTTGCGGTGTGGAGAATGTGCCACGCTTGCCGCGAATTTGGCACGCATCGCGACCCCACCCCATGCGCACCTCTTGCGGTGTGGTGTCGAGGAAGTGCCACGCTTGCCACGAGTTGCGACTATGCCACGCATTCCACGACCTGCGAATCTTATGGCTGTACCTGTGTCTTGCGCACCCTCTGTGGTGTGAAGAAAATGCCACGCTGTGTGTTTGCGTGCTGCATGTGTGCTGTGTGTATGTGTGCGATCCGCGTCTGTGTGTCTGACGTGTGGGTATCATGCGTGTACGGTTGTATACGTGTGTCTCATGCGGGCGTCGTGTTGCGTCAGACAGTCTGTTCGTTTGTGTATGGTGCGCGCGCGAGTGAAGGTGATAAAGAGAAGGAGAGGGGGTAGGTGTGTTGGGAGCGCAGATCTCATGTGGGTGGGAGGGTTCACTAAGTAGGTGAGGTGTGTTTCTCGCGGGCGGGATGCAGCTGAGAAGAAAAACAAAAAAAACGAAATGTGTGAGGAAAAGCAGTACGGAGCACATATTGGATTTTGATGTAATCGCGTGGAGGCGTTTTCGCCACATCGCCAGGAAAGCCGACAACCACCCCGAATCGATCCTGTCATAAGTATTGATTTGGACTGGCGGCTGTTTCAAATACGTATAGGAATGAATGACCGTTCGCCAGAGTGACCTCTCGTCTGGACACACTGGGGTCCCCCGATGGCTGAGGCGCGATGCGACAGCACAGGCTTTCGCGCCTGTGTTTCGCCCTCCCATCCCCCCCGCGGCCCCCTCGGGGCCTCGCACCACAGATCATTCCTGCCTAGGGCCACTCTTGCGTGTACCCAGGATTCGTGTCTCATGGCAGCATCAGTTGCGGGAGTTGTGCTGGCTTCCCCCGAGCGGCGCCAGTTGGGTCCAGTTGGGGCAAGAGCGGTTGGAGCCAAGGTGCTCCATTTGGTGGGACTCCAGCTGGACCTGGCCTGTTCCGAGAGACGGGTTCGTGTCTCCGCACACTCCCCCCTCGTTCACGCCGTTCTTCCCTTCCGTGCCCCCTCCTCTTGTCCCCGCCGCCTCTCCGCCACCGCTGGGAGCGGCAGGCGGGGAAGGAGTCGTGTCCTGTCCCTTCCCCCCCTCGACCCAGCGGATGGTGGATCGGCGATCAAGGTTTTTGTTGGACGTCTCTGGGCCTCTGGAGATCTCCGGAGACCTCCGGGAACAGGGTCAAGAACGGGCACGTCTTCCCTCCTCGTCCGCCCCTCCTGCTCCTACTCCTCTTGCTGCTCCCGGCAGCGTGCGCGTGGCGATGTTGCGGCGGGATGTCGCCGCTCGCATTTGAGAATCGTGCCGATTCGAGGGAGAGCAGCGTGTGCTACTCGAGGTCGGGCAGCGCTCAGTATTTCGCGCTGGCGGCGAGGGACTTCGGATCCGGGCACTTGCACCCTTTCAGGGGCAATGATAGGGGGGATAGGCATAGGGGAGTGCATCGACCCCCATTCGCCCATTGGCCGCCGATGGGGGACCGATAGCCCCAACCCGCCCAGAGAAGGTGCGGATTCACTATCGGGGGCCTACCGCCGATCTATCGGCGATGTATCGCCTATTCCACGGCGATGTATCGCCGATTTCAGGTCGATGCATTTCCCCCTATGCCAGTCCACTCCTATCGTTGCCCCCTCACATTTGCACCCTGGCCCACCGCCGCGCTTTCGGCAGAGCGGCAGGCAGAGCGCTCCACGGCAACAGTGCCATCCTGCGCATCTCGGCGGGCATCGAAGCAAACCCAGAGAGTTTCAAGCTCGTGTTCATCCAGGCGATGCGTCGTGATCCCGCTGGCTTCAGGAGGGAAAACACAAGGACACAAATCATCGCATATTCCCAAGAGAACATGGGAAACTATGGGAGGTGGAGGGGGGAACGAAAATCAAGGAAATATGAGAATATGCGGAATCATCGATTTTGTGCGTATTTTTGTGCGTGTCCTTGGGCCCCTTCATGGTTGTCGTGACACAGACCCGCACGTCCTCACGTGGTGGTCGTGTTCGTCGGGCCCGAAGACTCGCGTCTCCGTTCGAGCGTGCAACCCCGCAGTCGCCAACGCCCCCCAGGAGGGCAACGGCCAAAACAGCGACGCGGCCAACCAGTACTTCTGCCATGAGCAGTGAGCAGTTTCGCGATCGTTGGACGTCATCGCTAGCCATGCGCTGCCCACCGCGCACCGTTCCCTGTTCCGCGCCCCTCCCAGGGCACAGTCTCCGAAGGTCCAGCTCTGGATTCCCGCTCCCGTCCGTCGGAGGTCCTGCGCGGGGAACGCCCCGCTGGGAGCCCCCGCCGCGGGTTCCCGTGGAGGGTCTTGCGCTCGGTCCCTCCTCCCTCGCTCATTTGGTTTTCTCTCGCCCCCCACTCCTCTTGAGTCCCCTCCTCTCGCAGCTCTCCTCTTCATCCCCCTTCGGAGCCCTCCAGGAGTGTCCGAAAGCCACCAGAGACTCCCGAAGATCGCGGAGAACAGTTGAAGGTATCAAGAAACGGTTGATTTTGTTCAAAGGCCTTTCACTCCCCCCCCATCCTCCTTACTGTTGCAACTTCGGGGGGCTGCATCTGTCTATGAAAGTGTGGCAACGTTCTGGTGTTCGACGCGGACTCGACGCGGATTAGACGCGAATAGCGACGCGATGGGACTGACACGCCCCCCCGAAAATGCGACATATCTTCTTCTCCCCCCTTTGCTTTTGGGAATTCCTTCCCTGGCGTGGCGCTTCTGCCTCCGGGTTGCGCGTGCGCGCTTGCCGGGCATGGCCAGGGCAAGTCCAGCAGCGAGCTCCTCGAGGAGCACCGGAGACGAGCACAGGACGGGTCTTGTGAAATCCGACCAGCCAGCATGAGGAGGAGGCGGCGGAGGCGGAAGATGCGCAGGGTGGAGGAGCAGCCTGGACCAGAAAGGATGGGGAAGGAGGGGAGGCGGGCAGGATGAGGAGGAGGGGCTGGAGGGGAGGAGCAGGAACAGGAGAAGGAGCAGGAGAAGGAACATAATAAGGCGATAGGCTGGCCAGGTCGAAGGATTCAGCGTGCCAAGGCAATTCCCAATAATTCTTTTAGAACAAATAGTAGGTTCACGAGTCGTGGCACAGTTTGACATTGGCGGAAGGCCACTTCTGTGAATAGATAGCGCGGCGCAAAGGTGAGAGCGGCGTTTCGCCCTTTCGCTCATTGTGCGCGCCCCGTCCCATTTATGCCACGCATTTTAAAACTCCAACACCAAGCATCAGTTCTGACATGGAGAACGTACGTCGACGTTGCATTGTCGTTGTTCATCTGACTGGGTGGGACCACCGGGATTCGGTGCAAATTTGCTGGTTAGGTCGCGTAGTGGGAGCACAGATTAGTCAGGTTGGCGAGGTCGAGCGAGTCAGCGGGCCCCGCTTAGTGCCGACCTCATTCCCACAGCATAAAAATGGGCAATGCGCAACACATGTTGGCATTGAGCTTGGAACGTGGCTCCACAAAACTAGCGAACGGAAGGCGCCCGCGCGCGATCCCGCTTCCAACGACTTGGCGAAGAGAGAAGAAGACGCGGTCCGCGCAAGGGCGGGAGCGGAGCTTCATAGTATCCTTGCGCGGCGTTGCAGGTGCTTGGACGTTGACTGAGCCTTTGCGACAGCAGCTACAGCGCACACAACGGCGCATGCTGCGCATGGTTATCTGCACCCCTCGACGACGAAACACCGACGTCTGACCAACGCCCGGCGCGACCAGCCCACAAGAGCCACCTTCGACGCCAGTTCTAGTATCCGGCACAGACAGCACCGACGGAGAGGATGTAGACAGCAACCCACCGACCGCCCTCTTGAGCAACGAAACCGACGACGCGGATCACGACAAGACCGACGACAGCCAGGACAACCAGCCAAGAAAGACGGTCTTGAGCCATGGGTTGAATATATCAAGCGAGCGAGTCGACAAGCGGAGGTCTTCATGGAAAAATATACGCTACACGATTGGGTGACAATTCAAAAACAGATGGTATGGAGATGCGCAGCCCGCGTTGCGAAGCAATTGCCACATGAATGGCCACAACGTGTTCATTGGCACCAGAGTCTTCACGCTTCCCAGACTGGACAGCGTCATCATGGAGGACAGTGGAAGAAATGGGACGATGATATCCGCGCGTTTCTCCGCCAGCTCCACGACGCAGACAACCACCGCCCGACGCCACGAAGGCATTACGACCTCAACGACACCACGTGGCTACAACCGGCTACGACACAGGAGTGGGATCAATTGGAGAAGATTTTCGTGAAGCACGCACGTTCCTGAGTAGGCGACCGGCCGGCGCAATTTCTCACGCGAGGACACAGGCACATCTAGAAGCAGCAGGATTGCCTCATCAGGACCAGCCTCAAGTTTCACATCCAGCTCGGCCTTCCGACCTCCACCCTCCAGCACCCTTCTCCCCACTTCCATCTCCACCTGTCGACACCCAGCGCCCACCAGTTCAGCATTCCGACCTCCAGCCTCTAGCGTTCGACTCCCCGCTTCCACTTCCATCTTTCGACCTCCCAACCTCCACCAGCTCAACATTACGACCTCCAGCCTCTAGCATCCGACTTTCCACTTCCACCTGTGTGCGTGTGTGTGTGTATGTGTCTGTGTGCGTGTGTGCGTGTGTGCGTGTGTGCGTGTGTGCGTGTGTGCGTGTGTGCGTGTGTGCGTGTGTGTGCGTGTGTGCGTGGGTGCGTGTGCGTTTGCGTGTGTTCGTGTTTGCGTGTGTGCGTGTGTGCGTGTGTGCGTGTGTGCTTGTGTGCGTGTGTGCGTGTGTGCGTGTGTGCGTGTGTGAGTGTGTGCGTGTGTGCGTGTGTGCGTGTGTGCGTGTGTGCGTGTGTGCGTGTGTGCGTGTGTGCGTGTGTGCGTGTGTGCGTGTGAGCGTGTGTGCGCGTGTGCGCGTGTGCGCGTGTGCGCGTGTGCGCGTGTGCGCGTGTGCGCGTGTGCGCGTGTGCGCGTGTGCGCGTGTGCGCGAGTGCGCGCGTGCGCGGGTGCGCGTGTGCGCGTGTGCGCGTGTGCGCGTGTGCGCGTGTGCGCGTGTGCGCGGGTGCGCGTGTGCGCGGGTGCGCGTGTGCGCGTGTGCGCGTGTGCGCGTGTGCGCGTGTGCGCGTGTGCGCGTGTGCGCGTGTGCGCGTTTGCGCGTGTGCGCGTGTGCGCGTGTGCGCGTGTGCGCGTGTGCGCGTGTGCGCGTGTGCGCGTGTGCGCGTGTGCGCGTGTGCGCGTGTGCGCGTTTGCGCGTGTGCGCGCGTGCGCGTGTGCGCGTGTGCGCGTGTGCGCGTGTGCGCGTGTGCGCGTGTGCGCGTGTGCGC